AAAAACGGGGGGGTGGGGAGGGAAGTGCACGGGACTATGGTGATGGCACACGGGTGACTTGGTGATGGGAAACCCGCGGGGATTACAATTGAGATGGGCAAAAAAAATGTACAAAATGATATAAAAGTAAACTGTTATAAAAAAATTCATAGATAATTCATGGACTGTTTAGGTAGCAGATGTCACACTCAATAAACAAAGAAATCCACAACTGGGAAGAAAATGAAAAAAAAATTGCATTTGGTGTCTTCACATTTTCATAAATTTTCTGCACATCAGAAATGCCAATAGGATGAGTGTCTCTGAGGGTGCAATGAATACGGTTTCTATCAGGACAGAGGATCTTTCAGGCTGTTGCACAGGTGGCCTAGCAGGTAATGGGTAGCCTAGAGATGAATTGTGCATGTGTGGAAAGCAGGAACTAACATATTTATGTAGGCATTAACTGGGCCCTGTGCTGGCTTTGCTTATAAATCCTGTAAAAGCTAATAGGGCTGGGGGAGGGGAGGCCAGAACACTGGCACTGGCCACCACCACTGCAGGATGCTGCCTAGGCCACTGACTGCTGCCCCCAGAGCCAGAGTGCCCCAGGCTGCCCATTGGGGGATGGGGGCAGGTGATAGGGCTGCCCAAGGGGGGCCCAGAATCGCTGCTGCTGTCCCCTGTGAACATTGCCCACCGCCTGCCAGGGGTATTGGATGCTGTAAATGTGCTGCCTGTATCTTGTCTTCTGCTGCTACAACAGACTGTGGCTGGCCTCGCTGGGACTTCCTGATGTTCCCCTAATCTGCTGGCATCATCAGTCAGGGCAAGGATTGAGCCTGTGTCTGGCAGCTTTGTTTTAGTGAAAATTGTACATATATTGTACCTTTGTTTTATAGCAATAAACAATGAAAAAAAAAAACAGCTTTCACATTTTGTGAAATATGTCCGGTATACAAAACATTTAAAGTTTACAGAATCAACACAAGGTGATACAATTATTTTCTTTGCAGTAGATCTAAATTCATGCTTTTCACAAATGCTCAATATTGATATCTTTTAATATTTTTAAATTAAAATATTTCATTTTGATGGAGCACTTGATATATAATGCTCACCTATTTAAAAAAAATGTTGACTACTGCAGCATTGTATGGGCTAATGAACACATACAGTGAAAATAAATAACAAAGAGTTGGGAGGTATTTGAAAGAGTCCCCTGAAGGGATTGTGAAAGACTGAGAGAGCAGGTCTCTAACAGTGCTCTGCCCTCTCTTGATAAGTCTCCAGTTGAGCCTTCCAGGAAGCCTCTCACATGCCATGCCAGTCCCTGCTTTGATGTGCCAGTGTGCCCTGGGTCTGCAGTGGGACAGATGACACCCTGGGCAGTGGGGGCCCCATAGGGAGCTTCCAGGAAGGCTGCTCTTGCCCACTTGCTAGGTCTAATGAGTTTTCATAT